GAGGCAACCATACTCACCCCAATACTCAACTTGATGGTCTGTCCTTCCTTGAAACCCAAATCCAACTTGGGACGAGTATCCATTTCCTGAGATTCTTTGGAAATCTCAGATTCCTGCTTTACCCACCTTCAGGGAAAGAGTGAGTTATCTTAACTTGGGGCTCCCTGAAAGCTGAGTCTGACATACAAATTTGAGTATTTCTAATATATGTGAAAAAGGGTTCCAGGAAGCGGAGTGAAGGACTATGAAAAGTAAATACAGAAGACAAGTCAAAAAGAGGGCATTTGGGGTGCTAATACCTCAGTGGAACCACAAAGAATGTGCATTAAACTCATCCCTCTAAAGGAGGTTACTCAGCCATCAATTCCCAGCCCCATGGTTGAGAGCTGCCCTTTGAGCGATGGACTGAGGAGGTGTTAAATCCTCCTTCCTTCCATGATGCAGCCTGCAATTTCCAGGAGTCCTGAGGAGAAGGCAGAGAGAGGAAGGCCTGCCCTTGAGGTAGGCAGCTGACAGTACACATGGTGCTCTCCACTGCAGTTGTGCCAAAGTCGCAGGGACTGAAGAAATGTTGCAATAGGCACAAAGCATGCCAGCTATGGAGAGGAACAAAATCTGCACACAGCTACCCACATCTCACACACAGCCATGCTATTACTATATGCATTCTGCAAATACCAAAAGCAAAGGTTTATACCCAACGGCATAAACAAAAGCATCAACTCAAGCCATTGTGCAATGGATAAGACAGAACAGATACAAAGATAAAGTAAAGAACAGAGTGGGAAATGTTATATTCATAATGAACTATTTTATCAAATAAAGAAACTAAGAAGAGAGATTATGCCCATTCAGCTGAGAAGCAGCTCTCCCCAAATCATTTAACCTGGTAAGTAAAGAAAATCTTCACTCACTTGAAGTGATCTTGCAAGGACACATTAAAGTCGAAGGCATCACCCCGATCCGTGAAGCCAATGCCAATGAAAGCGCTACGCCCTGAGGAACAAAGGAAAAACAGATCAGGAAGCATCCCCTACTGCAAATTTTGCCCCATTTAGAAAAAGTCTGTTGATATAAAGCATAGACCAGGCATTCCCACATCACCTATATCCCATGGGCCAAGTGCTGCCAGTTTGTTTTGTAAATAAAGTTTTACTGGAACACGAGCATAACAATTTGCACAAATTACCTAGGCCTGCATTCATACTATACCAGTAGAACTGAGTAGCTACAAAAGACATCACTTGGCCACAAAACCTAAAATAATTACTCTGACTCTACAGAAAAAGCTTGCCAATCTCTGGCATATATTAGACAGGGAATTATCACCATACATGTACATGACTTAAGATAGTCCCACAAAAACCATTACAATGGTGGGCAAGATGTGTTCATTATTTGATTTGACAGACATTTTGACTTATTTATAATTATTAATTTCCACATCTCTTTAATTTGTGTTCATAGCTATTACAAATATGTTGATCTTTTCTTTTAGGATTTACCTTTTCCTTTAGGAGAAAGGAGAGGAAAAATTTAGAAAACAGAAGTGCGTAAAGGTAATTGGGACAACTTTCATTGCCATGCATCAAGGATTTTTCTAATCTCATCCCAGTCAAAAACCCAACTTCCTTACCAGTCCCATCCTGAATCCGAATTACAAAGTAGCGGCTGGAATCAGTCACTGTCTCCACAGCAATACCAGGATACTGTTCTACTGGGGCCTGAGCAAAGAGCTCCCCTGACATAAGAAAAAGGGTTTCTTTGAGCAAACGAAGCAAAGATTTAAAACTGCAATTAACAATACTTCCAGTCCCCAACTTGAAAGCATGTTACAATACTTGTAAAAGTGTGCCAGACCAATATCCTTAACATGTCAGGGTCACCAGCATCAATTACCTGAAACTTTATCCTCCAGTTTGATATAAGCAATCTTCCCTTTTGAAGTGATTCGAAGGCGACCAGTCCAATCAGGCTGGTCTAATTTCCAGTCAGATGCTCTAGGACAGGAAAATGGGAAGCGTCAGGTCCATGCCCTTACGTTACTAAAAGCCTACACAGAATCTTGCCCTATTCTAGTTCCCTGTCCTCCACTGCTTACCTATTAAATAAGCAACAATCACAACTCATGATCTCTATAAAGACACCCCATCTTATATACAGTCCAAAGCTAATATCAAATGTTACTACTTGGGATTCTGCTTGGATGATTTTTTTTTTTTTGTAACAGTATGTTACTGATCAGGTAGCAACAACATAAAACAATATAAATGAAATGTAGCAAGTAACTGAAGCCTTTCCAAATCCCTAACCATATCATCACTCATTGACTTCAGCCAGTATTTACAGAGTGCAGCGTAATTCCAGGCACTGTTCCAGGTGTTTGGGGTACAACAGTGAACAAAACAAAGACTCCTGGTCTCATGAGGCTTAGATTCTAATAGACTAAAAACATAAAATTATTATCTCTGAGATGATAAGTACTAAGGTAAAAAAGAAAATGCGGAAGCAGAAAGGAGAGGTTGAAAGGCTGGAGAGCAGACAGGTTGCAGCATGCAGGGCACCTTATCAACAAGGTGAAATGTGGGCAAAATGTGAAGAAGGGAGATACCTACACAGATATGGAGGGTTGGCCAGGCAGTTCAGGCAAAGGTTGTAAGTGAACTAGAATGAAATCCAATTTAATATTTAAATGTTTAATATTTAAAGAATCAATCATAAAAATTACGTTTGTGATTATGTTTTGCCAGGAATGTAGAAAAAGGAAAGTAGAAGTTACTAGTAACTCACTCCTTAGGAACCTGAAGACTGAGAAAGGTAACAATAAAGGTTATCTGAACAAGACAGAGCAGAAAAAGTAGTAAGCAAAAGGTGAAAAGGAAGCGAAAAGTAAAATTAGCACAGGATTTGTAGGATCAACCATTGGCAAGCCCTTCTTTGTTGACGCCTTGCCTTCAAAGACCCTCAGACCCAATCCAGACTGGGGCACCCTAGAGGCCGGTGTCTATTAAGTATAACCGTAACTCATTACTCAACTCACCACACCACAAGGGCTAGACACAGCATAAGGGACTACTGGAGACTTCTGGATATATTTCTAGAGACCGGTTCCTTGTCTATTATCTAGGGTGTCTAGTAACAGTACTGAATAAACCCTCAATAGAATGGATATTCCAGACAGCAGTTTCCCTCAGTATTGAGCCTTCTTTCCTTTCCCAGGCCCAAACACAGCCAGAGTAGATCTTGGTTTTGTTGGTCTTCTGACAATACCTAAAGTGACTTTAAATTTACTTTAGCAATTAATCTTTGTAAGTACTCTGGAATAGGCATAAAATTTCTCCCTCTTCCTTTTCTCTCTATCTCAAAAATGAAGGAAAGGACAGTAACACAGCAAGTAATAATGACTAACTTCAAATTTCAGCATTTTTTTTCATTACATTAAAACAAACTATGGAGGGGCCTCCCTGGTGGTGCATGGGGTTAAGTCTTAACTCTATGAAACTACCAGCAGCCACTGCAGCACAAGTTCGATCCCCAGCCAGGGAGCGAACCCACATGGTGCAGCAGACTTCTCCTGTGTAGGCCCCTACTCCCCTCAGAAGCATATTTCAGTAGATCTGCTTGTTCTGCTCCCCACTCAGTCTCTGGTGAACCCTTTCAGACCCTCTCATTTCACCTCACCCTCACAACACACCTCTGGCCTACATCCCAGTTCTTGTATGCATAAATAAATAAATCTTTAAAAAAAAAAACAAAACACTATGCGGGTCTTCCCTGGTGGTACAACACGTTAAAGTACAGCACTATGAAGCTATCCCCAGGCACTGCAGCACAAGTTCAACTTCCCGCCAGGGAGGTGACCCTCATGGTGCAGCAGACCTCTCCTGACATGCCCGCTGCTCCCCACAACAATGTATTTCAGTCAATCTGCCTGCTCTGCTCTGGTGAATTCTCTCACCTCCCCCACCTCTGGCCAGTACCCCAGTTCCTATATGTATAAATAAATAAGTCTTTTTTAAAAAACATACTATGGGCCCTCCCTGGTGGCGCAGCAGGTTAAAGCACAGCACAAAGAAGCTTAAGCGACTTCCGCATGAGTTCGATCCCCGCCTGTCCCGGAGGTGACCACATGG